TGACTCCTGCGGGAGTTGAGACTCTGGGGGGCTCCTGCGGGAGCCAGAGCCGGGGTGGGCGGGATTCCGTGGGAGTCAGGAAGGGTTTTTGGGCGGTGTTGACTCCGGCGGAAAAGGGGTGTGAATTAGAGGGGGGGGGGGGTAGGAACTCCTGTGGAGTTGAAGCTAGGGGGACTCCGTGGGAGTCTGAACTGAGGGAGTGAGGGCCTATGCGGAAGGAAGAAAAGGATAGTGGATGACTCAACACTATAAGAAAGAAAGATAGCATTAAACTTATGCTGAAGGAAGAAAATTAGTGAAAGAACTAAACACTGTGAAAGGAGGGGGAGAGGGGGGAGAAGTGGGAGTAGAGGTTTGGGGGGGAGGTAGCAGAAGCGCTCTGCGCTTTAATAAAGAGGGGCGCATTAATGCCAGAAGGGAGATAGAAAGAGGGACGAAGTGTAGGGTCCACCCAGTTGGCCCAATGCCGGTGTCCACTGGTGGATGAAGGTTCACTGCATGTTCGGTCTTTCCAGTGCACAATGTTGATTTATATTAATCTTAACTCATATCTGACTCCAATTTTAGTATGAGGTGGTTTAGAATATTAATATATTTATCCTAGTTTTATCTGACTCCAATTATAAAACATTAAGAAGATTATATCAATATGTAATTTAGATAAATGTTTGAACCTTTTGTCTTCACTAGTAACTATTACATCCGTTCATTCGGGTGCTCATGTCGCTCAGAGAAATCGCCTCGGCCGAAGGCGTCCCTCACGGTCACACTCCGGTCAGTCTTGAATATTAAACAGAGGTAAATTGACTAATACTTTAGATGGCCGCTACCAGCGCGCTCGTTCTAAAATACTTTAGTTAGTCCCGCTTAGATGTACGTCTTTGAGTTAAGACAATCATCATTTCTAATTAGAGGTTAGGGCATTAATATAAATGTACCCGACTACTGGACTCTATAGTAACTTTGGTTTTCACCAAGCCCATGGTTTCCCATATGAACTTAATTTAGAATAATATTACCTTCAAACAAAGGTCGGGTACCCAATCTAGGTTAGTCGTGCAACACCTTGTTGACCTAGATGGAAGTTATCGCCCTTTCCACCTAAGTACACATGAATCAATATCAAGAGTCAGCCGGATCCCTAAAACACAATTAGTGTGCCCAATGCTCCATCTCAATTGGATTTTAGTCCGTCTACTGACCTGACGCAAGACGTGCGGAAACAAGGATACAGCATAATCTACTTGAATTAATAATTACAGAGTGAGCAAAATATGGTCAAACATTACAATTTGTTAGTCAGGTAAATGTATTATGCCAATTCAATCAGTCAATTCATAAATGATCAATACAAAACATCAAATTATCAAAGATAAATCCAAGATGAAAAAGATGCATTCCTGACTTTGAAATATACATAACATGGGGCAGTTTTTCTTAGACCTTACCTTAAATAATCCAAGAATTCCCTCAAGGAAGGGGGTGTGTGTAAAAAGTCACACCCTTCACAGTGGTTCAAAAGATGCCTGAAGTTATATATTTATTGTGTTGATTATATCTATTTCTGAGAGAATGAGACCATTGTACCAATCGCACTGAGACATTTCAAATGATATCAAACATGATAGTTAAAGTCAGTTTGGTTAATCTAAAACATTCAAACATTGAAATGACCATATGCGTGAGTTGGGGGGATGAAGCTGAGTCTCAGCATAGTCAGATGCAAATGCAGCAGGAACTGGTTTTTCACGCATTCCCCCCTGGTGGGTTGTGGAGTCCATTGGCCCTGTCTTCAGCTCATGTTTTGAATTGTCAAAGACATCAAAAATATTTGTAATATTTCAATTCTTACAAACCTACAATATGCTCCTTAAATATATTTTAAATAAGATGAAAATGAAAGATCTAAGGACTGAAACCAGCTCAAATGTTCTTGAATAAAACGTGTTATAGTGATGTACAGATGTACAAATATGTAATGTCCGAAATAGCCTTTTTTTCAAGGTGTTTTGGCCGTTATGGGCCACCGTACAAGCAAAAAGCTAGATGCATAGATCCATCCCATTTGGCGTTTTAGATTCTTTTGAAAAGGTGCTGCAGTGCTTGTCAATCAGACTACGCTTCTGTGTTCGTTCTTGCTGTCAATCGCGGGGAAAATTATTGATGAAAAGTTTATGATAAACCGCTGTGAGTTTCACTCAACTAAGGGCACAGAGTTGCCCTCGGAGTCAGATTTTGATTCAACACCTGATCATTGAGCACAGATGACTTTATGACAAAGACAGAGCATAATATAAAGACAGAATGTGCGGCGACTTTATGCTGGATTCAGTGACCGGCGCACATAGGCTCTCCCCCGTGCTGCTGTTTTGAAGGTTGTCAGATCTGCATTTGTGTGTGTGTGTGTCCGCAGTGACAGCTCTCATGCGCGCTCGTTATAACGAACGTGCGAGAGCTATCTGGCTCGTTTTATAAACAATATGAATATTCCGATCAAACTGAATACAATCTTACATCAACAACACATGGCAACACATTGATAATAACAAATAATCATGTTAGATTAAATACAGCCCAACAAGTTGTTGTTTAGCCCATGTGCAGGGGTTTGGTGTGTGTCTGTGTTGTTGTTGTTGAAGCGGAGAGGGAGACACAGAAAAGAGGAGCGTTTTTTTTTCTTAATGAGACTGTTTCAGTGATGATTGAACCTAGTTACACGTTTTCTCCTTCATTCACCAGCTGCAACTAATTTGAAAATAACGAAACTAATATTATTCGGCTATGGAGTAACAAGTGAATCTCCCCTGCTATCTCTAACACAACAAAGAGGCAGAGCAGGAAAGGTTTACATATGTAATATTTTTTCCTGAGGCGATTTGAAGCAAAATACACAATGAGACTCAATCAAACTACAATGATAAGGAACTTGGTTACTTACTGGGTTATTAACGCACAGCAAGACCACATAAATAAAGAATGGACTTTGAAGGAATAAACAGTGTGAGGAGAGCTGCATTATAGTGCACTTGACAAGTCTGAACATGTTCCGCCCACGCGTGCGTGGCGTTTATCGGACATATCGTGCATCCCTAATATATATATATATATATATATATATATATATATATATATATATATATATATATATATATATATATATATATATATAACTTTTTATTTCTTTTTATTGTTAAATTTTACTATTTTTATATTTAACAGAGTACAGATGCCCAAGATAAGCTCTACACTTTTCTGGGTCTTTTTTCATTTTTATGGAGACCTTGAGAAAAAATATATATTAATTGCAAAGTGCTTACTGACACCCCTTTAAATGTATAAAAATACTTAATATTGACCCTGAGCCTTTAAGCAGGAGCCCGCACGCCACACCACCATCTCCTTATGCATGTCATAAAGCCTGTTTTAAATAAAAAGACAATTACTACAATGTCAAAAATTCTTGTGTTATAATGGCTAACAAAGTGTTGAGCAAATACTCACCTCAGAATAGTCAGACTTAACCTCAGGAGCGATGTACAAGGCATACTAAAAGTCAAAGATGTTATTTAGTTCTAAAATGACTAATGCGGTTGTCCATGTAAATTGTCAAACTTACCATGAGCACGAAGAGTCCACAGTTACTGGAGAAACAATGCATTGGAATATCCTAGGTAATGTCAGAAAAATGTATTTAATCAAACATGTAAAGAAATATACAATATAAATTATAAATCTGCAAGAATCATTAACAGATAAAAAAGTAATGTATTAAAACATTTCAACTACAGCATGTTTGAAATAAGATGCTTCAAATGTAACAAAAAAAGCAACATCCCTTATGCATCAATGAAAAATATGCTAATTACATGTGACATCCAAATTCTCATTTGGATTTTACTTGCATAAAATGTGTCATATATATGCAACATGTATTGTGAAATGTTGCAAAAATGCCACTTATGTTTTCAACCATTGGAATTACAAATATGTGCATGCATGTTCCTAGCCTAAATTTTATAATATGCTTTTAGTGGACTTTTTTCTCTAAGTGGACATACTTGCTATATTTCGAAATGCATGTTGCATAAATTACATGTTTTAGATGTAAAATCCACATTTTAACATGTCATATATGTATCCTAATTTGCACGTACACAATGTCATGTGTCAGATTTCTATGTGGGATCGCAGTTCACTTCATCATATATGACCCAAACAAATTATCTTAAAATGTATACCGCAAAAAAATGGTACTTACGGTTGTGATGAACTGTGCGAAGTTTGTGACTTTGCAGATGAGTGTGTATCATGTGTAGCGATCTCAACATATCGCGGCCCGAGATTACATCGATCTGAGACTGCATTATGTCCGCATCCAGACTCTTGGAGCAAATTACCACAGTTTTATTCGAAAAACAAAACTATATTTCACGTTTGTTCACAGCTGTCAGCAACACGTTTTGCCGTCGCGTTTGGTGATTGCTGATAGCCAGCGTATTTAACCTGGAATAAAACCTTTGACCAATGAAATACCTTTTGCCACGCGACCACGCCCCTTACAGAAAAAAAATTGACCAATACCGCTACGCTATATGCGTCCGCTACGGCACTTATGCTGAAAAAACGATGCCTTGTATATTTAATATGTAGTTACCATTTTACAGATGCAACGCAATGAAATATTCTCAACTCTTCATATATTCGTAAATCATCACAATTCATCAAAGCGTTTCTTCCCCTGTCATGTTTGCTGTTGTGTTTCACCTAACAGATTAGCTACTTTTCTGTACATTGTTGAGTTTAGTTTGCGGATGCTGATATATTTGCACCCCTAGATCTGCCTCCCCACCCCCACAGCTGGATACTTCATTTCCCATAATGCTCTCTCGAAAAACTTTTTTTTTCTTTTCAAGAAAGCGCAGAAATCAGAAGTTGGTTGGCTGCTTCTTCAGCGATGGACGTGTGTTAATCTGTCGGTAACTTGAGTCACTGAGCCTCAGTAAACAGACATCTTTAATGCATGTGACTGACTATGCCGCCCCGCAAGAAGGAGTACGGGATTAAACGTGCGAGCGGCTCTCTGGTTCACTTCAGAGCGCCCGTGAGCGCGACCACCATTCGCCGACACTCCGCCGTCGTTCCCTCGGTGTTGACGTTCGCTGTGATCGTGGCATCCGGAGGCCTGCTGCTCATGATAGAAAAGGGAATGTTGAACAGCGTTCAGACTCCGCCGCCGCGCGCTAACGGGAGGAAAGTGGAGTACCGACTGAGGAGCAGCAGTGACACGGCTGCGGACGTGGAGTCTCAGGTAACTTAACCGAGAAACGGTTCGCTAACCTGTGAATAAACAGTGAGGATTTTTGTGAAATGTAAACATATTTTATTGTGTTTACGTGTAACTTAGTTGAAAGACTTTCCTTTAGTTTGTGAGCTTGCACATCAAGAAATTTTCACGGTAACTCGGGACGCGTCTCAAAATCTAGTGAGCTGCCTACCTAGACAACATGGGGTGTTCAAGTTCCTTGCATTATTAACCATACTTAATATATGACTAAGCGTCTAGCCTATTATATATTTGTAAGCATATAACAAATGGATAATTTAAGAAACAATCAAACGCCTTTCAAAGTGAGGCGTTTAATATAAGATTAACGTAACGTTATGCTTGTTAACTTAGGTCTCACAGAAAGCCTAAACCCAACGTTTTATAGAAGCCTAAAAAGTAAAGTTAACGTCACACAAAAGTGTAGTGGAAAGTTTTTAAATTTGTTGTTAAAATCCCAAACAATGATTCTAGAATGTCTTAATAAAATATGCAATTTTATGGAATTTTACCCAACCTTTATGGAATCAGAAATGTGACACAAAAGTAGATTTAAGTTGAATTTGTGGACCATGGTGATTCGCAAATTGTGTTGGTGACAGTAAATGAAAATGTACTCAACATTTACTCACACTGAAGTGATTCCCAACACAAAAGAGGATATTTTGTAAAATGTTGGAAACTGGTAGCTGTTAACCTCCACAGGAGGAAAAATACCATGGAGGTTTACCGGTTTCCACCATTCTTCAAAATATCTCCTTTAATGTTTAAAAAATCTCATACTGGTTTGGAACAAATAAACAGCTCTTTGATAGTGGGGGGAAATAAAGCATTAACAAAAATCAATTTGTTGTAATTTCTAAAGTGTAAACATTTAGTGAGTTGGCACATCATTTATTATTTTTGTATTTGGAATGCAAAATACACTTTATTCAGAAAAGCAGCTAATCAGTTTGATAGCTGTAATAAAAAACAAACTAAAGTGCACATCTGTAATGTTCAGGAAATTACAAACTGTTTAGTACTGATACATGTTTGAGGATAAACCACTTATGAAAAGTTGAGTTTTTCATTTGTAAGGAAATGTCACACATAATAACATTCCCTTTCTAAACATAAATTTTCAGCTAATTGCAATGAATCCTAAATCAACATTTACTTATAAAATATCAAAGTTGTAAATGTTTATGTTATTTTATGAATATTAGCTAACAATAGTTATTTTTATTTTTGTCATTATTTGACTGAAATAAAAAACTTTATTAAAAATATTAGTTACTAATCATAAGAGCTAATATTAAAATATAAAAATAAATGCTAAATATTAAAGGTTATAATGTTGTAAATAATGTTCAGTTTCTTTTTTAACCACCAATTGTTTTGTTCCATAATGCATCATATAAAGGGCTGCAGGTATTTATTTTGTAAGCCTGCATGACCTTAAAATCCCCGTAGGCATTGATTTGCGTTTAATAAATCACCAAGAACCATTAGCTTAATTTTAGCTAATTAGTTAATTAATTCTACTCAAAAATATGTAGAAATGCAAAAGTCCCAGTTTCAAAACAGTACCCTACTTCACGCACGACCTGAGGGTGTAAAACGTAACCATAAATTTTCACCTTTGAGTGAACTGCTCCCTTAAAGGTTCTTGGTTTGCCCAGCTAGCGTACAAACTTCTCTGAGACACTGGACAGAAACAAGAATGCAAGTCGAGGGTAATAAAAACATTCAAGGGACTTGTGTAATCCTGTCAAGCCATTTGATTTGTCAGAACTTCTGAACTGATCCTCTGGCATATTAGCACACTCTCTCTCTGTACCGCATTTGTGCTTAACTCTTAGACTGTAGAGGAGTCGTAGTCATTTTAAAGTCTAAGATCCGATTAATGCTATTTATATCCAATTAATCCTATTAAATGGTCTTATTAAAACTCATCTGAGAGAGGGATGGATTTAGTTAAAAGCTGGTATGTGGAAACTGGAAAAACATCTTTGATGGAAGACAGAAGCATCACATTTCATAGCAGAAAACAATGACTGTAAAAAATATGGACGACGCGACAGCCCCTTTTCCCATTGAACGCCTTGAGGGCAAAACGCCTGCTTGACGGGCACGAACTGTCGCAAAAGACTGCTGAAATTGGAGCCTTGACATGCGCAGAAAGACTGTCTGATGGAGCCAGAGGAGGAGCCGCAATAATGAGCGGAGTCGAGCTTCCAACTAAACGCTTTATGTAAAATCAACCACGCCCCTCGAACTTCTAATTAGCCATCAACAAAACCCAAAATATAGCCTACACACCATAACGATTTACCATGCGGGAACAATCGTGCGTTTAGAAGATAAATACAGCAAGATTACTAAATATCAACAGGATATTTACACATCCCAACCCTGCAATTTGTCAATTTGTGCAAAAAAACTTTTCACTATTAATACAATGTCTATCTGCTGCAACATCACTAGTATATTGTTTATTCATTTTCGCTTGAATTGTTTATTTATTTAATTTTTTTGCCTCCGTTTTCATTTGGTTTATTCGATGCCTTCATTATATCTGGCAACGAGGAATTTACATTCATTTTAATGTTAGCTGGAGTGTTCAAATAAAACGCCAACAGTAAATGATGTAAATAAATAATATCTAACATTTACAGCTCTATTAGGTTATATAAGATTCGATTTCAAGAACCTTATAATGATTTATAACAGCAAATTCAGTAGATTACTTAATAACATGCCAAAACTTAAAATGCAGAGACGTCCTGTAAAGCAAGTTCAAATAACCTTACAGGAGATCAACGTGAAGATTATTATTTAGACACAAAGAGAATTACTGCTAACGATCTCCTGTATTTTCCCCGTACTTAAATAGGTTTATTTTATTGTGCAGTTTTATTGTCATTTTCGTATTTCTTAATTCTTGTGCACTACAAAATGTATTCAATTGTATTATTATTTAATACTTGTGCAATCGATACAGGTTTATTGTTATTTATTTTGTCCTTTATTTAAATAATTGCTATGTATGCTGTTTGCATCTTTATTCAAAGGTTAAACTCAGTGATACACTTTGCGTTCACATAGTAGCCTACGTTTGTTGTCATATCAACAAAAATGGTTGTAATAACGTTAACAAATGTGAGGGTTTTTTATAATGAAGATTCAATCGCGCCAGCTCCGGGCAGCAGCGCATAACCTACTCGCGGCGTCGCGGGCTGATTCCGGCTCGCAAGCGGCAGCGCCTGCTCGCTTGGCCGCCGCATCTGGCTCAATTGACTCAGGCTGAAATCGGACAGTGAGTCCAGGCATCCGGAGTATGTCCAGCAGAGGTAGTCAGTCTGAGGGGTAAGTCTCCGGCAGGCAAGAACTGGCCCCAGTGTATTTTGCTATCTGGGTGGCTAGGCGTGTATCAGCAAACTAATAAAGCCCGAAAAAAGCCCTGACCCTAGCGAATAAACAGTGTTCCACCAGATCATGTATGTCAGAAACTGTAGTTTACTGCTGAACTCATTTTGTCATAGTAAAATATCACAGAAATCGAGTAATAACACTTCAGTCTCCTGCCGAAGCTCAGACGCGCTTCTTTGAGAAACTGTCAATCACCGCTGTCAATCACGATGACACGCCCAGCATTAAATTACTGCTAAAAACAAACTGTTTACAAAAATGAGAATCTGCACCTATTTCAGCACAATAACCAGTGCCTTAATCGACCAGAACCATCTTTCGGGACATTTTATTGCAAGGGTAAATTATTTTTTTATTTGGGCTCAAGTCTCCTTCATTAACACGGAGGAGGCGGGCTTTATGACTTGTACTGCAGCCAGCCCCCAGGGGGCGATCTAACGGCCGAGACCTTCACTCAAACGCAGGCTTGCGGCACACTTGGCAGAAAATAATAAACAGCTGCTTACCTTAAAGCCAAGCAATGAAATAGAAATATGGAGCTAATTCTTCAAGTTAAGATCTCTGCTGTTCTCTGAACAGACGAGTACAATCATGACATTTCAGCCACTCTATCTCAAACACTGATATGAAGTCTGCCTTTTAGATTAGGATTTTATTTAGAAAGAGCAAAAGATACCTTATTATCATTATACATTTAACAGCCACTTTATTAGGTCCAACTGCTCGTTTACGCAAATTTCTAATCAGCCAATCACATGGCAGCAACTGTGGGGTGGGGGTGGGGGGGAACAGATAGAACTGATACTGATAGAAAGGCAACAGAGCATCTCTGAACGCACAACATGTCCAACCTTGAGGCGGAAATGGGCTACAGCAGCAGAAGACTACACCGTGTGCCACTCCTGTCAGCTAAGAACAGAAAACTGAGGCTACAATTCACACAGACCCACCAAAGATATTTTTTGGCACACTTTGGGCCCATTAGTACCAATTGAGCATCTTGTTAATGCCACAGCCTACCTGAGTATTGTTGCTGACCATGTCCATATCTTTATGACCACAGTGTACCCATCTTCTCATGGCTACTTCCAGCAGGATAATGCTCCATGTCATAAAGTGCGAATCATTTCATACTGGTTTCTTGAACATGACGAGTTCACTGTTCTGAAATGGCCTCCACAGTTACCAGAACTCAACCCAACAGAGCACCTTTGGGATGTGGTCAAATGGGAGATTTACATCATAAATGTGCAGCCGACAAATCTGCAGGAACTGAGTGATGCTATCATGTCAATATGGACCAAAATCTCTGAAGAATATTTCCAGTTCCTTGTTGAATCTATGCCACGAAGGATTAAGGCAGTTGTGAAAGCAAAAGTAGGTCAACTAGTAAGTTGTACCTATTAAAGTGGCCAGTGAGTGTACATACATTGTGCTTAATATGTTTAATAATTACTTTGATTTCTTTAAAAATATTAAATAAAGTATTAAAAGTGAAAAAAAGTATTAAAATATTAAAAGTGAACACACTTATGCTGATAGAAAAGTCTATTTTGTGCAGTGGTGTTTATATTTGTGCAACACTGATTTCTTCAATGCTGGGACATGATGTTTGGTTATCTAGAGGAATGTCCAGAGTAAATATTATGTCGAGTATTAACATATACTTTCATGTTTCTTCTGCCTTTGGCGTGATGTGTGGAGATGTTTCTGGAATTAGTGGCAGTTAAACTAAGCTATTTTTATTGATGGTGAAATTTAGGCGAAAGTTGTGTTATGAAATGAGATTCACAAAGCAGCTGAATGTATTTAACAGTTTTTACATTTGCATTTTTTAGGAAGATTTGGAAAAAGTTAAGCCATGAACCAAACCAGCAAACTGCAGGGTAAATCACAGCATTACAGATTTGATTTAAAGCAAAGGTATATAGGTAAAACTGCTAAAGAGAGACACAAATACACTTGCCATACTTGTACATGGGCTATGTTTTCATAATATACTTCATTTTTTAAAGCAAGTGTGTTTTGTGGACTTGGAGAAAGCATTTGACCATGTCCCTCGTGGCATTCTGTGGAGGATGCTCAGGGAGTATTGGGTCAGAGGCGCTCTGTTAAGGTCCCTGTATGAACAGAGTAGGAGTCTGGTTCTCATTGCCGGCAATAAGTCAGACTTGTTTCCAGTGCATGTTGGACTCCAGCAGGGCTGCCCCTCGTCACCAAATCTGCTCATAATTTTTATGGACAGAATTTCAAAGCGTTGCCTTGGGCTGGAGGGGGTCTGATTCGGAGACCACAGGATTTCATCTTTATTACTCACAGACGATGTTGTTCTGTTGGCTTCATCGAACTTGGACCTTCAGCATGTTCAGGTAGTTTGCTTGAGAATCAGCCCTTTTAAGTCCGAGGCCATGGTGCTCCACCAGAAAAAAAGTGGTTTTCCATCTCAAGGTTGGAGGAAAGTCCTTACCCCAGGTGGAGGAGTTTACGTATTTTGGGGTTTTGTTCACAGGTGAGGGAAGGATGGAACATGAGATTGACAGGCGGATTGGTGCAGCGGCAGCAGTAATGCGGTCAATGTATCAATGATGCGGTCAATGTAATGGTAAGAGCCGCTGCTCCTCCACATCGAGAGAAGTCAGCTGAGGTGGCTCGGGCATCTGTTTCAGTGAAACAGAATTAAATTCACAATGCCCAAGTGGAGTATTTAAATCTGTATTGAGTGAATAAATTACTTTTCATTACTTTTTAATGTGAAAGTAATTTAAATTATAGCTGCAAGCAGCAATTATCAGAGCCAAGCAGCCACATTATAAACAAGCACAGCAACAAGCTACAGACCAACTGGAAAATTCTATAACTATATTCTATAATTCTACTGATAGAATGTAATTGTTTGTCAATTTTACCCAGAAAGTGTCACAAACTGATGTAGTTTGGTCAATGTAGGTCATGCACTTTAAGGTTGGCTTCAATATGTAAAACCATTGCAATAATTAATCCTGTAATATCACCTGACAATATTACATCTTTTTTCAAACATGACAAGTTTGCACATATGCTAAATGACGACACTTTTGTCGATTGACAAGAATGCTATTACTTTTTGTCGACATGGTCTGAAGATGATCCGAGTCAAATTTGGTGAAGATTGGACCAACAGTCTAGGAGGCGTTATATAACTTTTCTATACACTTACAAGAAAATAAAATATTTTTTAAAGTAACAAACAGACTTGATCTAAATTCTCACAGTTATATTTATCAGTAAATTCATAGATGTCTGTTTTCCTGCAGATCGTTCAGGAGATCCGCAATCGCACCATCAGGTCAGTATGTGGTCAGAGGAACATGCCTCACAGTGTGTGGTCTCTCAGTCCCCTGCAGAGGAAAACTCTCCTTCAGCACATCCTAGTGAATGACGAGCATCGCTTCCTCTACTGCTACGTGCCCAAAGTGGCCTGCTCTAACTGGAAACGAGTGCTGAAAGTGCTGAGCGGCGCTCTGGCCAACGTGGACATCAAAGTGAAGATGGACCACCGAGCTGACCTGGTCTTCCTTTCCGACCTCCCACCTGAAGAGATTCGCCATCGACTGCGCCATTATTTTAAATTCATGTTCGTGCGAGAGCCGATGGCCCGTCTGCTCTCTGCCTATCGGAACAAGTTTGGTGAAATTGAGGCCTATCAGCGCAAATACGGCGCAGAGATCATACGCCGCTATAGAAAAGGCTACGCAAAAGATAAAAAAATATCAGGAAATGATGTGACATTTACAGAGTTTACCCGTTATTTAGTGGACGAGGACCCAGAGAGGATGAACGAACACTGGATGCCCATTTATAACCTTTGCCAACCCTGCGCTATCGAATATGACTTCATCGGCTCATACGAAAGACTGGAGAGCGATGCATCTTACATTCTGGAGCGCGTCGGAGCGCCACAACATGTGCGTTTTCCTGAGCGACAGACGTGGTACAAACCTGTAACCAAGGAAACTCTGCATTATTATTTATGCACTGTGCCACAGAAGTTTCTCAAAGAGCTCCTGCCCAAGTATATTTTGGACTTCTCCCTGTTTGGTTATCCTTTACCCAACACAACCACTGAATACTGCAGGCACTAACAAAGACATTGTTGGTTTGTAAGATTGTCTATAATCTGTCATTATGTTCATGTTAATGCCTTTTAAACAGATTTTTGATTTTATACCTGTACAGAATTTAAAATATAATTGAATAAGCCTCAGTACGGTGTATTTGAGAGCTTAAGGAGTTCATACCACTATTTAAAACTGGAAATACTCAGCTGTTTTACTCATGAGATGGACATTAAACAGAAAAAAACATTGTGCAGTGCGCAAGACCTTCAGAAGTTATATATTAGTGAGCACAAGCTTCCAGTGTTTTCACTTGTCAATATAATATTAATCCTTGCGTGCTGTTGGGGATGTTTTCATCCACTCTGGGGTGATTTTGAGTCTCAATGAGACACAACTTTCTTTGTGATTCAGCAAATGGAATGATTTTTGGTGACAAATTTTGGGAAAATGCTTTGAAAATGTTCAAAAATACACTCTAAGCAAATATACCACCCTTTTATTGTTTTGGTGGCTGTATCGTGTACTCCATTGACTAGGGATGTAAAAGATTCTCCTGACTCACGATGCGATTCACAATACTAACGTCACGATTCACGATTTTTTAACAAAATTATTTGAGTCAAACTTAAGGTGAACAAGAGCTTTTTCATTTTTTCTCAAATGCTGCACGTTTGTGATGTGCTGTAAACACAGCGCCCCTTTTGTTCAAATCATGTTTGGCAATTCATTCAACATTTCTACTGGTTTGAGTAGTCACCTATTATAATCGATTTTCTACCGGCTCACAGTGAATTATTCTTTTTTATTAGTAAATTATTCTCTCTTTGGCTCTCGGTGAAGGTGGTCACACTTTTCTCCTCTCACGTCTATATCTCTCGTGGCTTGCTTCTCTTATCTCGTCTTATTCTCTCTCTGAGGCTCTCCTTGCCCTGCTCTCCAAACAATAACAAATCTCTGAATGCAATTGACACCATCTTTCGACAAGAAATCTGGGTTTGGAGGAACCCAACTGTCCTGTGGGGTATGTTCGCTGCTGTATACATGATGGGCGGGTGGGAGAAGTGGCACGTCGTGTGCTTGGCCAGTCTGTCCCTAGAATAGATTGAAGATATCTATTTATTTGGAACTTTGATAACAGGGCTTTAGGTGATGGGCTTAGGCGGGACCCTGGGGTATCGACGATTGGTAAAAGCGGTCAGTGTGGCTCAAAACCCCACCATGCTGACCATCTGGAATAAAACGGTGGTGAGCAGTGTTGTTGGTACTCAGACTGTGGCCTTGGATCGCAAATTGGAAAACATCTAAGAGAAACTAGCGGCGTTGCAACGTGATTTGATCAGACCTATAGACCAGTGAGAGACATTAAGTATTGCAAAATTGGCAGATATTGACCCAAATTGAAAACCTTTTCTTCTCTTTCGTCTTCTCTGTGACTCTCCTGCCAGACAGTCTCAGCTGGAGACAAACAACTTCCCTGGAGAGCAAGATAGGGAGACACTCGAAATTCCTGCTCCCTGTTCCAAGAACACCTGTGAGACTCTACAGGCTCTCTCACACACGCACTCTCTCTCTCTCTCTCACACACGCACTCTCTCTCTCTCTCACACGCACTCTCTCTCTCTCTCTCACGCACTCTTTCTCTCTCTCTCTCACTCACTCACTCACTCACTCACGCACGCACGCACGCACACGCGAAGTTGTATGTAACAAATAAAGGCTTTTCAATCAATCAATCGAATTGTTACATCCCTAACGACAATTTTCATTTCAAAGCCATGACACCATATAATCATACATCATTTATTGATGTTAGTTTTCCCTATTGGGAAGAGGTACATTTGATCATTTTTACTGTTGATCATCAGTTGCAGTGCCAAAAAGCTAAGTTTCTGGCTTTTATATGAAATATAGTGTAGAGAGAGACAATAGAGCACTTATCTTGATATGTCTGAAAAAAATCTAAATAAGAAGCTCAGCTCTCAGAACATAGTAAATGTATTTATGCACACACACTATAATCTGCTGTTTTATTCAATAAAACTTCATATAAAAGCCAGAAACGTTTTTGCACAGGCCTAACTAAACGGTTAATGCTGCCAACTGATGATAAAAATGACAAATTTTACCTCGTCAACAGGGAAAACCACCAACAATCAAGAATGCATGATTATTTGCAATTTTAAAAATGTGGTTATAATGGAAGTCAATGGGGCAAAAACAGCCACCAACATAGCGAAAGAGTATTTAAACAAATGAACAAGTTTCCAGTGTGTTTTTTTTAAAGAGGCTGTATGTAAAATTAAAAAATATGTAAAATTACACACGTGGCTATTAAGTTAACAGCACCCAGCAACTTATTAGTCGAGTTTCATGCATTGCATAACATACAAGAGAATGCTTGTGATCCGGCACCTCAATATACTCACAGTAAAGAAATTTGAAAAAAAAATTAGAAATACCTTTGCAGTCATGTACTAATAATAAACATCCAGGCACCGTCCACGCCAAGAGTGACACTTAGACAAGTAAATTTGAGTTGCATTTTTTCCTTTGAATACCAAAATAAACAACTGAAATGACAGCGGTGAGAAAACAGTAGTTAGGAAAGCGTCAGATTATAGTGATGTAGAGATGTTTTGCACAAGTTCTGCAAGTCACCAGCATTATGTTGACAGCTGAGCTCATCAAACTGTACGGTAAGATCTGACTTTGTGAGACTATAGTTTTCTTAGCATAAGCTGCATTAAAAATGAATAAGTTTCACAAAGACTTACAAATATAACAAAAAAAAAAGCTTCAACTTTCATGCATTTCTTTTCACATGTACTGGTCACCTGGCAAACAACAGTCACATGATCATTCAATTTTGTTGTTGCTTTTTGCGGTTCACATTTCTAGTAAAAAAAAAAGTAATCAATACACAAAATTCTTACATGTAGCCTTATTATTTTCCTTTATTTTGATAAGTATTGTTACTTCTACTGTCATCCACATTCTAGGATGATACTTTGTTTAATCCCCTTTACAAAGGAGGCCATTCTGTATGTATTTAATTTTGCTGACTGTGTCGAGTTTTATAAGACCAAGACTTATTTCTGACCACAAACTGAACCCTTCCCATCTGCCACTTCCTCTAAAAAGACGAGGCTCTGACTTCAATCCCTGAAGAGATCACAAAGAATGCAGTTTCACATCCAAAAACTGAAGTACTGTAAATGAGGGAATAAAGCAAATATTTGAAACCAGAAGGCTGATTTTATTCTAGTATTTTTATTATTATCATTAAAAAACTGCCAATTTAAAAGAATAATATATAAAAATAATAATTTATTCACTTTTCACAATACACTGCCTGACAAAAGTCTTGTCGTCGATCCTAGTTGTAAGCAACAACTAACGTCGATCCTAGTTGTTGTTTAGTTGAGCAACAAATAACAACTTGACTTCTAGTTGATCATTTGAAAAGTGGCAGAAGGTAGATTTTTCCCATGAATAATCTGTTGAACTGCATTCCAATCATCACAAATACTACAGAATATTTATTGTAACCCGTATGGACCCAAGATTCTCATAGAAATAAGTCAAGTTTGGTGAAGGAAAAATCATGGTTTGGGATTACATTCAGTATGGGTGTGTGCGAGAGATCTGCAGAGTGAATGGCAACATCAACAGCCTGAGGAATCAAGACATTTGTGCTGCCCATTACGTTACAAACCACAGGACAGGGAAAATTCTCCACATCAAAGTTTGTGACAGCAAAGAAAGTCAAAGTGCTTCAGGATTGGCCAGCCTAGTCAACAGATATAAACATTATTGAGCATGTCTAGGGTAAGATGAAGGTGGAGGCATTGAAGATGAATCCAAAGAATCTTGATAACCTCTGGGAGTCCTGCAAGAACGCTTTCTTTGCCGTTCTAGATGACTTTATTAATAAGTTATTTGAGTCACTGCAGAGATGTATGGATGCAGTCGTCCAAGCTCATGGGAGTCATACACACTATTAATTGTTTTTCCTCTATACCATGACTATATATTCTATAATGTACATTATTTCTGTTAAGTGACAAGACTTTTGTCCAAGCAAAGTCAGATCTTACTCTCCTATTTAAAATAATTAAAAATCAAGGCATGATCATAACTATTTTGGTCAAACAAGTGTAATCTAGAGGCATTTGCTTTTCATATAAGCCACTACTGATACCAAATGATCAACTAGAAATCTAGTTATTATTTGTTCCTAAAATGTGGATGGGTGAAAAGACTTTTGTCAGGTAGTGTACATAAAGGTTTAAAAGTACATGACGGAGAGTAAATAATGAGCTAATTTTCATTTTTGGCTGAACTATCCTTTTAAGTCCCATATTAGTATGCTAAAGTCCAGTTAACACCCAAGGAGTTGGTGGATTAAAATGTACGCTAGAATAAACAATTATACTAGAAAATACATTCAATGGCTGTTAAGGGCAAGAACTATAACCAGGGTTTCTGCAGGTTTTATCAAGTTAAATTTAAGACTTCAAGACATTTTTAAGACCATTATGAATGACGTTTTAGACTTTCACAGGGCTAAACTCAGTTAAAAAAGCTTTTCACTTGCCCTATAAAAATAATAAAAATTGAGTACATTTAATCATACAATAGTAATTTACTAATTTTCAAATATATTTATTCACAAACCCTATAACCCTTAACAAGAATAGAACAAAACATAGCTGTCAATTAATTCAGTCTACAGCAATAATAATTTCATGATAAAAACATTGGTCAGGTCAGTATCCTCAGCAGTAAATAAATGGAGAACTTTTAAGCAAATGTTACTGTAAGGAAAGAAAATAAATGCTATTTTTAAATAAAAAGTTTTATTGAGATTGGTATTGTTGGTGATTTTATCCGTGTTAATGGCCAAATTTTGTAGCTATACATGAACAAAGGAAAATCAACACCTGTTCAAAAAAGATTTAAGACATACAACACAACATTTCAGTAGATTTAAGACTTAAGACTTTTTAAGACCCCACAGATAACAATTTATATATACAATTGAAATGAGTTTTTCTTTAAAATAGTACAGTATCAGACTGAACGGGATTTCTCTGATATCTAAAGGTAGAAAAAAGAGATTAAACATTACAAAGAACCATGGGTGAACACACAAAGAGAGATATATTAAAAACAATGCATGTTTATTCATAAGTTAATTAGTCAATATAAAATCTATTATATTTATGTAAACCTATTAAACACAGGTTGGTTTTGTAGTGTGACAAACACAGCCATAAGTAACATGGCCATTTCACAGCAGCTTTGATTACTCACTTATTATAAGAGGTCTGAAACGAAAGAATAGAAGATGACACGAAGTAAAGCTGCCTCGTTTACCTTTCACAAGTCCAGAATTGTGAAGAACAATAATGCCAATACAATGTATCCTATTCAAGTTCTTATAAATGTGTATAATTTAACAAACGGCACGACACAGTATTGGCTTTGGCTGCATAATTTTACATTCAACCTTAAAATAATAAACAAGTATTTCCCTTTCAGTAGCCACAGGAAATCAGATTTCAGAGTCAATTCTGGCCCAACACAGACTTACTTCAAACAAATTCCTTCACACGAATCCTTGCTGAGCTCAACCGTATCCTTCAAAGCTACTCTTTAAAGCTCACACTTCTGGAAAATGAAAGCTGAATTAGAGTTCTTTGTAAACTTTGGTTATGAAAATCATGCAGTTTTTCAGGCAGTGCTCACTTGTCTTGTGTCTTGTCTGTGCTTCGCTCTGGTGTGCGCAGAATGGAGCGTTCAGGAGAAGCAGGCCGAGGACTGAGAGACGTGCTGAGAGGAGAAGAGCTTCGCAGTGAAGAGAAGGATAAACCCTGTCTGCGCATTTCCTGCACAGCTCTCTCCCTAACAGAGAAAAAACACACAGTGATGAACGCTTGACAAAGCAGCATCACAGCAGGCACATTCTGCAGTAACAGTCATGTTTTTATCTCAGATACAATACAAAAAACAAAACACAAAGTCAATATGTCATTTCCTTAATATTGTCTATTTGTATCTGCATTGCTACAGCAGGCTATACAGTGATTTTACTAAACATTCAGAGCTCATTTCCAGCAATAATAAAATCTCTACGAGCAGGAATGTGTGAAAATGGGACTCAAGTGTGTTCAAATATTCAGTGTGCTCCAAAATTTCCCTTTATGGTTGTCAGTGCAGAAAAGGCAGTTTTGAAATGACTAGTTTGGAAAATGTGTGTTCTGAATCGTGCTGGATGTCAATTTCTGCAGTGTCTTTATAATAAAGCATTGTTATATCTACAGACATTTTCATTAAACGTTCTTATGACCTTGAATAACTCTTCCTTGACCAAATACTAGGGTATGCACAATTAATCTAAAGGCTGACTTATACTTCTGCGTCGAGTGATCGCCATGACCCACAGCGCATGCCTTGTGCTGAGTCGTGCATTTTTACTTCTGTGTGCAGTTTGTGTTGCTCTGCAATAACACTTCCGAAACGCTAGCTAGCAGTGAGGTTTTTATGTTCTTGCTCATTCAGAGGCAGGAACAGGCTGACATGCAACAACTTTAATCATAAAGTAAACAAAACAAAAGTCTCCATCTGGAGCTCCTTCACGCGACTCGACACTTGTAATCACTTGCTCCAACAAGTTTGCGTGGCTCTCGGTCCAGCCCACTCTGGTCAAAGCTACCAAGCCTAACAATCACAGAGCTTATGCTACGAGTCATCGTTTTTTTTGAGAGGTGCGCGTTGGCATCTCTCTGGTGGCCAGGGCTAGGGCAATGCACCCATGCAAAGGTTGCGCCTGACCATACGCATGAGCTTGTCGCAGAAGTATGAATCAACCTTAAGGCAATTTTTCACGCACATTTTGTCAGTAAAGCTGCTTTTTGTAATCAGCTGTAAATTTCCTTTTTACTAAGGAATAGAAAGTCGTCCCTAGTTGGACAGTTCAGTGCCTTGCTCAAAAGATATATGTCAGCCATGTTATTGAGCATGTGCCAAGACTCGAACCTTCAGTCCTCCGATCACAAGTCAAACTCTCTAACCATTAGGCAGCCTACAGAGACATAGTTCACTAACAAGCGACACTCAAATTGCAGACAATTTAATTCACACAATTTTAAGATTTGAAAGCTTCTTAAGGCCCAATCCCAATTCTATTTTTACCCCTGCCCCTTGAAACAGAGTGTAAAGAGAAGGGCTTCAAAATTTACCCCTAAGAAATGGGACAGCACTACAACACCTTCACACATCCTTATATGACGTCGCAAAGCTCTTACTTCTTATAAGATCGACAATGGTGACTGTTGTAGTTATTCCAGTTGTGTATTTTTAAGTATTTATCTTCCGGAAATCACAGATGGCATACAATATCATGTTATCATAACAATATAATATGTATTAAACATATATGATAAACTTGTAACTGTACTGTGCATTTACACCGTGGCCATATTCATTCATGTAAACACAAGGAAACAACATTAACATTATACCAGACACTGTAAAAAGCCAATTCTCAGCCACCAAACTTTTCTGACAGGGTATTTCAAAGTCATCGAGTGTCAGATGTGAAAGTATGTTGTGGGACCACTACACAGAAGTTATTATTAGGAATTATAGATATCAAAATTCAGCGTTTTTTAATTAATTATTTTTTAAGCATGACGGTAAAACATGAACGCCTTTATGAATATATTAAAACATATGCTTGTTTGTTTTTATGCTTGTTGTTATGCAAATTAAAAAAAAAATTGTATAATGACAAAAAAAATACAAATTTGTGCATCTCCTTCATAGGCAGTCATGCTGCTGCTGTAGATGTTGTACTTTGGGAAATTTTTGTACCCCTTGGTTTCGAGTAGGGTCCTGAACAATCTTCATTTCATAGGCTATCTAGCCCTTCCCCTTAGCCCTACAACTTCAAGCTAAAGAGAACTGGGACACCCCTACCCCTTCACGTGAACGCTAAGGGGTAGAATTGGAATTGGGCCTAAGTCTCTTCCTTCTAAAATCAACTATGGCTCTGTTGCTGCTATATGTGAAATCTCAATTTTATTTAGATTTATCTTTCAAACCACACTGAACTGAGCTAAACAGAACAGAACTGAACTTAAACACTAAAAACTGAACTACCCTGATCCAGTTACTATGACCATTTATGTGAAGCTGCTTTGACACAATCTACATTGTAAAAGCGCTATACAAATAAAGCTGAATTGAAATTAAATTGAATCTTGTTGCCCACAGTATGTGTAATGTGATTATGCTAAGCAGTATGTGCATAGTCCCTTTTCCTTTAAACCAACACACAATGTACATCATGCATCTTGCACAATTCCACTTGAGTTGTTTGTGCAGTTTTTAGTTTGTCCACAAGGTGTTAACATGCTGTCTGTGCAGAATGAGGGAGCTCTTCGATTTAATCGAAAATATATTCATTTACGTTCTGAAGATAAACGAAGGTCTTAATGTCCCCAAGAATTAAAACTAACCATATAATTTTGTTAGCTCACATTGCCAGTTTTGTGGTGGACAATTCATCTGTGCATGTCATTAAGACAATAAATTGTTAGCCCTTCTAATCTTTAATTGAAATCTGAAAATGCACGTCCTGTTTTTTTTTTTCAGTTAAATGATCAGATTACATGATTTTGAGATAATGGCGTAGCTAACATATTTAACTGCTGGTCCAGCTGTCAGTTTTGACAACAGGAGTCAGGTGAGCAGGAGTCTGTTGTAATAACTCTTCTAAAACCCCTTGAAATGCCTACTTTACTACATCCTTTCCGCCCGCAGTAGAAAAACAAGCCACGCCCACCGTTTGCTCATTTAAAATTCCGTTTCTCTAGGAACTGCGTCACAAAATGAAAAAAATAACAGCTTCACAGCTTCCAGTTCATGGAAACTTTAAGAGACTGGAATGACACGAGGACAAGTAATAAATATTCTGCGTGAACTTACCCTTTAAACAAGTATGAATACATTTTTATTGCTCATAACTTTAGGAGAGTAAACGTATAGAATCAGTGTCAAAAGGAGTTTTCTACAGTGCATTGTGTAGAGCTCCTGTGTTCATGCATTTATTTTAGTCCATTTGACTGTGCATACATAAGTGTAAGATAAATAAAAAGTAGACCATTTAGGAAGGTTCTGTAATAAATCCTGGCCTCACCTTTCAAAGCGTTCAGTAGTTAACTGTCTCTTGAGGACATCCATTTCTGTCTGAAGCTGAGATACTTTACCCCGCAGCTGGGAAACCTCTCTAGCATGACCAGCCCTATGAACACACACATACACACACACTTTGAGATTTTGAATAAAAGGGCAAATATATTGTTATTGCATTTTAACAGTGCTGGAGGCCATTCAGACATCTTCATTTGACTGATTTCTTTTGTGCCACATGCTGTTACCACTGATCGCCATGGTAACTGCACACATACACCAGCAAACACTATTGAGAAACGGCTTGTTTTCTGGAGGAAAGCAACATTCAATGGAGTCTTTATGCAGCTTTAGGAGAACACACAGTCTTCTGTGTAAACCCAAGACAAACACTTAACACAGCAACCCTTATAACAGACTCCTACTGAAACAATAGGAAACACAATATATACACACAATATTGGCAGTGCTTTAGTACACACTTTTTTTTACCTCAAAAAATTGTTTCAGAACTCTGCATCAGATAAAAACTAACATGTAACTTGTTTTCCTCTTAATTTTGCCTTCATCTGTTAGCCAATGACAATCCACTTCCTTTCTTTCAGTCCACTGAAGTGCAAATCTGTCATTATCCCACACAGCCTACATTTGACAGACAATGTCAGAAAGGCTAAAACTCAAATGTAGATTAATCAGCCAAATGGAATTCACTATGTTTCAGATTGCCTGTTATACAGAGTGCACAGTAAAATATAAACGTTTAAAACAGTAGGACATACTACATGACTAAACACTGCATGGTTTTTAGTGTTTTATATGTACAATATAAAAATATAAGTGCTTATATGTACAGTAGCTCTGTAGCCTATTTATAAAATGCCATATAAAAAAGTGAATTCACTAACAGAAAGGGCTTTTCACATGGTTTTAGTTTGTTCTATAAATCAAATTGAAAAAAAGGTAAATCCACACTACATTGCACACATCTACTAATCAACAATAAACCCCTCTTTTAAACCTTTACAAGTATCTTTCTTCTATTGAACACATAAGAAGATACTTTGAATAATGATGGTTGCTGACATTACTTCCATAGTAGGTAAAAAAATAAAATAGAAGTCAATGAGTGCCAACAATAACCAATCTACAAAATATATTTATTTTTGTTCAGCAGAAAAAAGAAACGTAAATAGATTTTGAACCAGTGAAGGGTGAGTAAATGATAACAGAATATTAATTTTAGCATGAACTGTCCCTACTAATCATGTAGTCAACTAATGTTAACAAAATTAACCTTACGCTATGAAGGGCAGTGTTTCATCAAAACTAAAGTAGCTCACTTACGTTTTGCTGTCAGCGAGGGCGAGGCGGTCCTTCAGCACTTTGAGTTCAGACTCTTTCTCGCTGGCACTGATGTGCGTCTGAAACTCCTTCTGTCGATTGGTGGACAGCAGCGTCTCCAGATTGCGCACCGTAAGCCGCTCACTCCCCAGCTGTTTCTTCAGGAGCTCCATTTCAGAGCGCACATCCTCCAGTTCACCCGTCACCTGAGGTTAACATCCAAAAAAAAAAATAATCACACATTTGTTCATTTCCAAAGCCTTTTTAAAAATAAAGTGGACTGAAGGGTGGTATCAGGCTCACTCTCTCTAGCTCCATGCTCTTGGATGTCAGCTGGCGAACCGTGAGCTCTTTGCTGGAGTCCAGTTTAACACACAGTTCTCTGACAGAGGCCAGATCTGCCAACACTGAGGCTTTTTCAGCTCGAGCAGCCTGGACTTCCTCTTCTAACCGAGACATTGCGCGTGCCAAAGACGACACCTGAGCTTCGTATGCTTGCAGAGCGTTCAAGTGCTGAAAGATAACACAGGTGATGAAGCACTGAATAACAAGCTTTACTGTGTTGCCCATGCTCAGAGTTGCTCATACCTCCTGTATCTCTCTGTCCTGCAGTGAGACTCTCTCTCGGAGGTGCCTGCGCTCCGTGTCGGATGAGAGCAGCTCCAGTCTGATAGAGTTGTTTAGCCCTTCTGACTGCTGCAGCTTCAGCTCTTTATCCTCTGACTCAGTGTGGATGGATCGGAAACGCTCCAGCATATCCCTGTTCTCCTGTTCCTGCACACAACATAGGTAAAACAGAGTTATCACAAAAAGTCGTTGCCCTGGATCACAAAACATATTGCATGGGTATAATATAAAAAGAAAAAAACAAAGCAAACTAAAAAAAACAAATAAATAAACCACTAGTGCAATCTTACATAAAGAAAATACAGGTCTACAATGTGCTGACCAGAACTAGTATCCAGTACTAAGCTGAAAGTTGGGGGTGGGGACTCGATCAGGAGCAGGGTCAAGCTGAAGAGAGGGGACATGTTTGCGAAATGGTTCACACAGTTTAATGGAAATAGTGCTAGGTCGGTGAAGAGAGTACCTAATTTTCTTTAATTTCATAAAATAAAGAACAATTCTTATCCAACAAGTGTGAGATAGAGGGCAAGGGCTCTTTCAGTTCAGAAGAATTAACCACCTAGCGAGAAGGGTTAAGAAGGCTACAAAGTCTACAAAATGACAGAGTAAAGTGTGACCGAGTGGGAGAACCCCAAATAAACCAATAAGTTTAACTTAACAAGTTGGAATATCAACAGCGGTAATAGCAGACAACCAAAGAAAAATTTGCCTCCGAAAAGAAAGCAGGCAAGAACAGGTCCAAAACATATGAATTAGAGTAGCTGAACCAGAATGAAACCTGTTGCACTCAGGGTTAATAGACAGATTGATGTGAGATAGCCTGCTCTTCGACCAATGAGCTCTATGCACTACCTTGCATTGTATGAGCCTTTGATGTGCACAGATTGAATTAGCCCTGTTCAAGACTGCTTTCCATGTCCCCTCGTTAATGTCAATTCCAATGTCTTGAGACCAAATGGTCGGTCAGCTATCAGAAGAAAATTGCAGATTAACAATTATAATAAATAATTTAGAAATTGAACCTTTAACATAGGGATCTACAGTATGCCCAGTGTCCAGATCTGAAGCAAGAGGTGCATTTGGAAAGCACAAAATCTCAAATTTATAAATATCTAAAGAAATTAGCTTTAGCGACATTAAATATTTGGGCATCTTTAAAGATGATTTTCTTAGTATTTTATCCCAGATTCTCAAATGGTTGCATCTCGTTATGTACAAATCATACATCAGTGGAAATGTTATTTATTGAGATGGTGTATAAATCGAAATTTAAATAAAATGACACTTATGCTTTGTGGTCCACAGTCATAATATAAACTTTATGGTTAAACAGACACAATGGCTGTTTCTCAATATGCGTTCTTCAGCAGTCTTGCGTCTTTGTGTTCTCGTGTAACGTCATCATCAGCTGCCAAAGTTCAGTTCCAATACTCAAGACCGCAAAAACAGAGGACACGTGAAACTTCCCGGATGTGTTTTTGAAATCGAGGACGCACCCATGCAGACTTAAGCACCGAACTCGCTCTGGAAGTCCCAGAATTAATTGCGACTGGAGGTGGGAGGTGCAGCATTTTATTTAGATTTATTAATAAAGTTAGATATATCTTATTTACCTCAAGAGTTTCCCTAAATGAAATGATAAAAGTAAACATTACCATGAACATCTTAATAAGGGAATAAACACATTAAGGGTGTTTATTAGCTGAAATTCGTATTTAAATCTGTTTCATTTATATTGTGCAACGTTTATTTATAATGTTTTTATGCATAGTATATATTTTAAAAAGGGGAAAAGCAATAAATCGTTGTATGAATGCTGTAATGTTTAAGGAATTTTCTATTTAAAATGAATGAAGGTTGTGTGACCATCAGAACGAATGCAGCATCTCATTTCTCACAGGATGCATTCACTGTTCTCCTGGTCTCCCGAGTTCGTTCTTCCGAGGACACCAGGCAAGACCGGTCTTCATAAGAACGCAAGTCCATTCTCTGCATTCTTGGAATTGAGAAACAGCTAATGTCGACAAATCAATTTAGTCTGCATTGAATCGTGATTGTGTTTAATTCTGCATGTAGCGGAGCGCATCACCAGTTTGAAGTTTATTTAGTAATTATTACACTTTTTCATGAAAATTTGTTCTATTTGAGAATGAAACAGATTTGCAAGTTCACCAAGCACAAGAGCAGTAAGCACTATTTCAGATCTCTGACAAATAGAAAAAGTCCTGTGATTTTTTCAGAGAATCTACATACCACAGTATCCCAAATTTCAATAATTATTGTCCAAAGTGAGGCGAGACCTTGTTAAATGGAGTAGGCTAACAGATATAATATACCGATACATTTGTCATTTCTTATCGGCTGTTTATGGACAGAACTAGGACTGTGTGAACTTGTGGGTTTTTGTGATTTTGACTTAACCTTGTGTGAATTTTTAGAGTTGTTACAACAGGACACTTGTGGCTCGGTGTGTCATCTGACAGTTGGCTTTGCATTTCATGTCTGAACACTCAGAAAAAGAATTTTTAGCCTTTTAAGTTCAAATGTCTACTCTGTGTTTTGGCACTTCATCTCTCACCTTGGCAGCCATTAGGCTTTCTATCCGTGCCACCTCTGAGATGTAGGAGTGAACTCTGAGCTTTAGTTCATCCCTCTCGTTCAGAGCTTCCTGCATCTCTGCATGCACTGCCTGGAGAAAGACACACTGAACCTGAGCATATGCGATGCACATCATA